AACAAAACACTTCGCAAAAAGCAGATCTGAAGCACATGCACAATAAATTCTCCCCATTTATTTAACAAAAAAATATGTAGAACAAATTTGATGTCAAGAATTTGCAAATCCTGAGCCCATTTTCACGTGTTCAGTGCGAGTTGCCACAATCTCTTCTTCTCAAGCTTGCAAAATCACCAAGGGTTGCCTGGCAGTTGTCTGAACATGCAAGAATATTATAAAATGTTTTTGTTAAAGAATAAAAAATATTATAGAAACTTTCTAAATGTCACCATTTAAAGACTTGACAACTGATTATAAAGTTCTGGTGGGGAACTACCATACCATAGCCAAGGTAAGAACCTTAACTGAGAGTAAAAATTTCTGCAACACTTTGTCTAAATCACACAGAAGATAGGGAAGAAAAGGTGGGAGAGGACTGAACAGGGCTGATCAATTAGCACAGGAAGAACATGGTTTTCATGAGAGCATCTCACCCTAACCTGGAGATGCTGCTTAACCTCATCGGGAGCTGGCAGAGCCTGAAAACACTGCCCCAGTCCGGGGCACCTGAGCTAGTGAATGAGACTTCCTGAGCACAACACACACCATGGCAACAAGAACACTCTTCCCACATCCAGATGAGGCAGTGGCGAAGACCAACCATTTGACTGTTGTGAAGCAACAGGCCAACTCAAGCTGTTTGCCCTGGGAGACATCAGCACCCACAGGGGTGCTTCATGAGCCCCACATGCGCATAAGCACCTGCTGTATGCTTCACGCAGCAGGAAGCCATGGGCCGAGCTCAACTTCCCCTCAAGAGCACGAAGCGCCCTTTCACTCTCCATCAGTGCCCCAGGCCAAGAGCAGCTACCACCATGTCCTCCTCAGGAGTGAAGCACCCTAAGCAGGTGCCAGGCTGCTAAGCCCTTCCGGGGCTGCCTCCTTCAGGGGGAAGAACCGCAAACAGCGGCCTCACAAGCACAGGCAGGCTTAACAAAATAAAAGAGAACTTAAAAACGAAAGTGCGCAGCGAACCCACAGCACCCAACGACCGCAACGACTGAAAGAGGCCTCGCGAGATTGAGCCCTTTTATAGCCATGTCCGGCGAGAGCGACGCGCGGCTCCGCC